AACATCTTCTTCAAATGATTACCTTAATCTGGTTATTTGCAGTCATCTCTTTAGAGTGTGCTTGCCAACATAATTCTACACATGCACACACATGCTACTGTATATTTCAGGTGACTTGTTTGATCTGCATGGAAGTCAATGTATTCCAAGGCTTAGACATACATTCAATTTCAGTTATAAAATATCATAAAGATCACAATCTACCAATCAGAGCTGGATCACGTTTTCATTACCATTGTTATTGTGCGGCTCGATGCTGTATGATGTGTCCATTCACTGTTAATGTATTGCTCAACATAGAGATGTGATTACGGCGCTGCACCCAGATATCGCACACAGACTGAATGAGCTTCTCCCAGGATTCTCGGCTCTCCCTCCTTTAATTCCCCCCCCCTCGATAGCTCACGCTCGTCTCTCACGTCTCGGAGAATGATATTCAGTTCTCTGAGATATCTCTGTTACACAGGCGCCATCGTCAGAGTGGACTTATTGTGGGAATAGATGCATCATGCCCCTCGCCACCCTCCAAACACATCCATCCGCCACCACAATCACACTTTAGTATGAAGCAACAGCTGACACCAAATAGATACAGCTAGCAGGGAGCTGGTTATTGTTGAGTGCAGCCATGAGATAGAGGTCACTGTTGCCAATGGGTTGAGAGATGGAGGGAAAGAAAATGTTCCAACAGTAAATTACATGCCGGATACACATATTCCATCAGTGGACTCCACATGAGATGGATGTTATATATCACCACGGTGGCTTATTAACCTTCTCACCCACATAAATGAAATGCATTAAAGCGCGCCGTTCTGCAAACGGAAATTACACGACATCTAGATCATGTTATATCTCTGCTGTCTCATTTGATGTAGTGTGTTTACACATTGTGTACTCATGTCGCATATTGCAAATGTAAGGTCCTCTTACAGAACATTAATCCAAAGCATTATGCATCCGTGTGGAAATATCTCACGCTAAACCCTCCTTGCCCCTTAACTCAATTTCCTATTCAGAGCCTTTTATTTAAAAACAGCAGCCTGTGATATCTTTAATAAATTGTATACGCACAAACAGCCTTTTTTTTGGGGGATCTGGTTGGAGAATATCTAAAAAGCCAGGAATTAATTTTCCAATTTTTATGTGGAGTTGGTCTCCCTTTTTTTTAAGGATTTACTTTAAAAAACCATCTCCAAAAAAAACTTGAAGGTAATGTCATTCACAGTACAGGCTACCAAGTAATAACTTCCCTAATCGCTTATGCCTTATGCACATATTTCCACCGGGAAGAAAAAAAAGCGTTATGAGAGAGAACGAGAGTGAGGCACCATAACAGCTGATGTACAACATCCTGTTCTCATCTTGACAACAGCCAGGTAGAAGTTCATACATGCTCTCAACCTTATTCTTCCTCTCTTTTGTCTCTGTTTCCCTCTAACCACGACCGCCTTATTACTCCCCTGCTCTCCCTCATTGTCCCTTGGCACGAAAATAAAAGCAAATATCTTGTCTTAGTCATAACAGGGCTGTTTCTACTCATGAAAGGCGTCGCTCCTAATGTCATTCAGGTCATCGCCTCCCGCTGGTAATCAAGCTGGGACGGTGATTACTGTAGGTGAAATGAATGGCGGGCTTCTGTCGCTGGTGGCTGACAGCCTGGGAGCCAGATAAGTGTTCTCCTCCCAGGTGACTTTGACACATCAGAGGGAGGGAGTGAGAGACATCAAAGCCAGGCAAAAAATAGAAAAAACTTGCATTAGATTAACACCCGAGAGACCTTCCTAAAAAGGTGTGTGATGATGGGTGGGTGGCTGAGGTTGTGAAGGTGGGAAAGGTTAACGTGTGTGAGCTTTTGTGAAGGTGTCTGTTTTCTTTTTTCCGGCAGTGGGAGTGGGGGACTTCAAAGGAAGGAGCAAAGGTTTGATGTGATAATGAAGCACCTTGTTTAATCCTCAAACTCTCTTTTATCCAAACCACTCACTTGTGCCTATTTGTCCGACAAATGTTTAGGTAGGCTTACAAAGCCCAAATCTCCAACCTGCTTTTCAAACGGGAGTATCAACGTCTTCAGTGAGGGGGGGGGGGGGTTCACTCGAGAGAACAAAGAGATTTGAGATCAACTGAATACCTTTTTTTCCCCCCCGCTTGTTTTCCAAGACCTCATCGCGCACGCATTGTGTGTCTGCCGTTCACGCTGCCCCCGTGTCTTAATATCAAAGAAACCCGGAGCTTTGAGCCTTGTCATGGTTGGTGGGAGTGAGCAGGAGTGATGCTAAGGTTAGCTCGCTGGAGCGTTTAGCTGTACATGGGCAGATTTACCGGCCTGTGAACCCATAAACCTGCAATTACAAACCTTAACAACTCTGGCGCAGGCGGCCTGTACACCGCAGTTTTCCTCTGGGCCCGGGGATTTAAGCTTCACAATCAGTCAAGCGTGACTTCAGAAGCTAATTGCACAAGAGTGACACACACACACATAACACACACTCACACACCATCCTTTCGGGGGGAAAGACTGATGGTGTAGGTGGAATTTTGTTTGAAATTCATCAAATTTTAATCCAGTGCGTACATTTCCATATTTCCATATTTATCTCTTTGCGCTCCTAGCATCCACTTCCTCTCTGCATATCATTTTGGCCCTATTAATAGCTCAAACCGCTCCTTTACCTAATACACAAACATACAGAAACACACTCTCTTGTCACTACAAGGAAAGAAAGACATCCTCCCTTCAGCCCTGCCGCTTTAAGACACGTGTATCCCAAGGTAGATAGGGCTGTCAATGAATCACTCCACTCCTGCCACAGTTGGTAAATGGACTGTTTGAAGCAGGAAATGGATGAGGGGGAAACAGGGAAGAGTCACAGATAAGATGTGGGATTCATACTCTCCTCCTCCCCTCTGTAATGAATCAGTGTATTTACTTAGCAATCGGCTGCTCTAAAATGGCCCAGCAATCTCTCCGTTGTCACCCTGTTTCTCCCCCCCCCCCCTCTAAAGGTAATTGCTCTTACCTGAGACACTGTAATGGATCCTGGATGAAGTATTGACCGCTGCTAGATTTTGATTAAGGGGCTGTAGGGCAGAACATGTCTTTAATGAAACTGAGGAATCAGCATTCTGTGGCTGGATGCTGCGCAGTGTGGCCCCGCAGGCACCTTGATTAGGACCTGATCCTCAGCAAATCCAGAGGTGTGCAGCCGCTACTGAATTAAAAGCGATGAATTCATCCATTAATAATACCCAAGGCGTGTGTACTTTTTCCTCTGGAGGCTTATAATCGTTAAAGGTTTGGTTATTCATTTACTGTAAGCGGTTTGCACATATTCACACAATCTCCATCACTCAATCATCCACCTTGTTGCTCGCTCACTGATGCACTAACTCACTCCTTAATACACTCAATCACTTTCCTCTTTCTATACAAAAGGTCAGCCTTTATCAGTTTGAATTTTAGCACGAGGGATGACTTCCCCTCATCCTCTCCCTTAAATTGCCTTTTGGCTCGTGTTAAAAACTGATTGCATCTCGGACTCAGATGAAAGGGGAACAGCAGGCCCCCCACGTTCTTTGAGCGTGTAAATTAACATCATCTTAAAGGGGGGAGCATTAGCATGCTAAAAGACACCACAGCTATGATGAACACCATTTGCCAAGGCTTAATGCGATAGCCGGGTAAGATGATTAACTTTGAATCCATTTAATCAAACACCAGCGCTTTCTCAAGTGTTGGGGTAACACGTCCCTCATATCTTCTGGGAAATGGGCAAAGTAACAGACGTGTAAAATCAAAGAAAGCCTAAGGCGCCGTTTACACGAGGAGAAAACTGCTTGTATCTGCATAGTTTCGCGTGCGTATAGCCCTATTATTTACACGAGGCCGATAGAAACTGACCCCACAAACAATAACGGGTCCCAAGGTGGATAGATTTGCAAACGAAACGCTCTGGGGGGTCAACCGAGTCCGTGTAATCACCTCGATACGAATATTTCCTGAAAAAATAACGATAGCCCCGCCTCTCCTGCTCACTGCTGAAGCAACTATCAAAAATAGCTGTGTTAATTAAACGCACAAGGGGTTCTTGAATGAAATAATATTATAAAAGGCAAGCCAGAATTGTTAACGCCCAATATACTCCTTAAACAAAATAAACAGAGTCAGATTTCATGCATTGATCCATTATATTGACAAAGGAGGATCTCACCCGGTGTTTGTAGAGAATATCTCTCTCTTTCTGAGCCGTCCTCTCCACGGAGACGTGCTTCTTGGGGGATGCAATATCCACAGATTCGGTTTCTTTCAGTTTCTTTCAGTTTCAGTTTCAGTTTCGGGGCTTAAACAGAAGGGTAGCCATGGCAACATTGCAGCGGGCTGCTCGGTTGCTCTTCTTCGCGGCTTTTGGTGTATTTTGGCGGAAGTTACAGCGCCACTTACAGTCCCAGCATATGTACTACAGCGTTTCCAGCGGCCTCGTTTGAACAGACACGTTAAATGAAACAAATGTATGTGAACGGAAGACTTTTTTGAATACGCATACTGTGCATAAATCAGAGCATCAACATTATACTTTAATGTGTCCAATATCATTTTACAGGCTGTATTTGATCGCATGATCAAGTATGAAACTCACAATGCGGTGCGACCTGGAACACAGCAGCTCACTCATTGACTGGGAAGTCAATGTGCCCTTGGGCTGTATCCTATTGACTTAAGTAGTTCAAGTAGTTGGCTTCTCACCCACATCGACCCCCGGCGCCCATGCTGATAACTCACCCTCCTAATGCAATGACAATTCTGACCCTTTCGGTCAGACCTTCAACCACAATCAAGCCGAGAGATTGTAGTCGTGTTTACTGATACAAAGATTCTACACTTGATTGGTTTATTATTCCTAAGAAAATGCCGTGAAAAGTGGTCCTTGTTACTGATTGCAGTCTTATACTTGTCCGAAAAACTCATGGAATCTATTCATGCTGTGTTTCTTCTCTCCTAGACCTTGATGAACCGACGGTGACGGTGCACCAGAGTATAGGAGAAGCTAAGGAACAGTTCTACTATGAGAGGACAGTGTTTCTGCGCTGCGTGGCCAACTCCAACCCGCCCGTCCGCTACAGCTGGCACCGCGGGAGAGAAGTCCTGACGCAGGGCTCGGACAAGGGAGTGGAGATCTACGAGCCCTTTTTCACTCAGGTAAGACACGGAAACATGGATGAAGGTATTAAGATAAGACGAAATAGTGCAGTGAATAAATATTCTATTCCTTTCATTCTGTACAAGTAAAGCCTTAAGGTCGGACATTCAACTTGATGATTTTGGCAATCGTTTAATTTTGCTGTTGTGAAGACATGCACCTTTAGCCCTCCTTATGCACACTACAAAGACAGGATACATAGGCTGATACAGAATAAAGGGTGTGAAACAACCATAATAAGCTTTAGTAGGAGTATAAAGATACATCAGGAGATCATGTGCTGAAGCTCTTTCAGACAGTGCTCTTTCATATTTAAAGGTCTCGTGACACAATGAGAGGGTTTTTCTATTACAATGTCTGCTTGTAGCTATGATTTTATGTATAAAAACTATTGCGAATGTTTCAGCCACGCTACCAAACATAATGTTCTGACAGCAAATTCATTATCAGGTAATAGTTTCCATAAAAAAGAAAAAGATATAATCATAATCCCTTGACGTAAATCTAACCATTATTATAATGATTGTCTTATTATTACCACTTGTAATGAGCATTGCATTGTAAAACAGTTGACTGATTCTCATGTTCTGCATATACTTTAAGGCCTTAGACATTACAATTATGTAAATGCTGACCTTTATCAACCTATTTAGACTATGAGTAATACGTGCAAGAACACAACACAAGCACACTGAGATGAGTAAGCCGAAGTAGCTAACTGGTGAGTCAACATGTTGTCATTAGTTTAACATATTGCAATGTTAAATACTGGAATAACAGTGTTGCTATATCATGTAGAAGAAAAGGAGATGGTACCATTCGGACAGTTTTTTGGTTGTTTCATAACCGTACCCCAAACCCTTACACAACCCCCTTAAATCTGCACTCGTTTACCCTATGAAAAGCTGTGTCAGTTTGACTAACCCAGTTTCACAGTTACATGCATATTAACTCCCTTCAGTCACAGAAAGATTAAGTTCTTTTCACAATCAGTTCTCTCAATTGTGGATTTTCTTTTCTGGAAATTGAGAAACTTTTCCTCTAAAAAAGGATCATGTGCTGTCAACAAAGAGCTGATTGAGACTGCTCCGGCACCAGTGAGCGAATTGTATTTTTTGAATTGGTTGAGTTAAATGTGATTTGTATGTTAAACCGGGTTTGCCAGAGAAAAAGACATGGGACTGAGAAAAAGAGGCTTAAGAAACAGAGAGAGAAAAAGGAAGTGAAATGGATGTTTGGCCAAATGGAGAAAGATAGCTGGGAACTAATGGAGTGGGTGAAGGAAGCTGAAGAAACGAGGCCTCATCAGGCACTCTTCCCTTCTCCGTACCTCTCTGCTCCATCATCCTGCCCTCTATTAAGGCTTTAATTGGTTCGGAAAATATGAGTGCAAACCAAATCCAGAGATGAGCTTTGTGACAGTCAAACTCCAAATAAATCCTGACTAAACTCCTTGTAATATGCTTGTATAAATGGCTAGTACAATTATTTTTTTACCAATATGTCTGAACTTGCCTGAAACACACTCAGATAATTGAGTTACAAATTCATAACTGACCAAAAATAAAGCCTACGGGAAGTAGACTCCATTAGAGAGCAGCCAGGCCTCCATTTTGGCCTGGCACATTATTGAGTTAAATTCACTTCTATACTATCCTCCCTCCATTATCCTTCATCCCGGCTCCATTCCCTTACACCTTCTTCAGTCCATCAAATGTACGTTTATATTCCCACTGAAACTGTAAGAATGCAGAGGTGGCATTTCAGAGACTGTAATGTGAAGAAATTATTAAATGAGAGCCACAGCTGTGACTTTATTGTAGAGACTCTCCTTTCTACTGTCTGTTACTTCTTCCTCCACCTCTCACTGCATGATTTCCCCACCAAAGTGCCACAGAATAGGACAATTATCGAAGGTATAATGGAGCCGTTGCTCATCCCTTGTCAGATTCCCACCTCTTTATAGCAGCTGATATGTTTTAATGTTTATGATGTTTTTTTTTTTTGCGATCTGATGTTCTGTTTGAGCATGTTTTTAGTTCTTGAGGAGGTAACCATTTAAAGTTAGCAACATATTGTTATCGCCCACATGGGGTATATGTCACATTTATCTTTGGTTTAACTTCCTTGCTCATTTTTTCGCCCCCATGTAGTCAAGTTAGTCGTTTTCCTGCTGCTAGCATGAAAAATGTCCTCATTTTCATCTTTATGTTCCCAGCATTTGATCCCTCAAACATGTAATTTAAAACATGAAAACTGAGATGTGTCCCTCACACTGACAATGCTCTGCTCCATAATTTCTTTGCCCTTTACCTACAGTCTCGTTCCCAAAGCTCTTGTGTTCAATCTTCCCATCGATATGGCCATCAATCCCCCTTGTCCAATTCGGTTTAATGTGTTTGTCCTTTCCATTCCTTTCTCTGCCCCTTGCATTATCCAAATAGATTTTCCTTCAAATCTCCCCCCCCCCCCCACCACCCACCTGCTGTGAGTAAAGCTTGCACTCAGAATAACGCGGACCCCATCTCCTGATCTCTGCTCCGAGGCAGAGGAGGTGACAGAGACATAAAGGAAAAGGAGCGTGGGGTCCATGGCTAATCTAATATAATGATGTGATCCATGAGCCTCGTTGGATATGAAAGACGTGAGTGATTGCCATGTTGCGCAGACTGCAGCATGGTGTGGCTGACTCATGTTATAATCCACTGCCTCCTCCTTCCAACCCGACACCCACACATTGGAGTCAGTCAGATCAAAGGTCCAAATCCTCATCATAGCCTCCTGGGCGGGGCTCGCTGTTGACAGGCCCGGCTGGAATCAAACACATTATAAGTGAGATAGCCCTTCCCTGCTGAGAACCATCCATATTACTGCAGCTGAATGGTGAAAATACCACATTGCCATTGACTGGAGCAAAATCCACTCGTTGGTATTAAATACTTTGACACATCCATTTTCTTTTAAAACTAGCTCCATCATTTCTATCCACTGATTTTACAGTGCTATTCTTGAACTCTGCAACTCTTTCTTTTTTATTTTTGGCTTCATTAAAACTGTATACATATTCATCTCTTTGACCTTTTCTTTGGAGCTGTTTGGCCTTTGTCATCTCCGTCCCACCACGTAGCTTTCTGCATTTATTTTACTTGATTATGATAGTGTTTTGCACACATTTGCATACCAGTTGTGGTTTGGTCTGAGCTGCAGGGGGAAACGAAGATTTTGAAGCTGAAGAACCTGCGCCCTCAGGACTACGCCAACTACAGCTGCGTGGCCTCTGTCAGAAATGTGTGTGCGATCCTTGACCGCAGTGTTATCTTCAAACTCACCAATAAGACAGGTACCTAAGATTATTTATAAGCATATTACACCCACAATTACTGTTGTAGCAGTGCTTATAATATTATTTCAAGTCATGTATATGCTAAATAAAACGGCAAATGCTATAAAGGTCCAACACTTATAAATAAGTGTTGGACAGACGAGGAAACAATGAACTGACATACAGTATATTGTTATAACAGCCAATGTTACCCATTTTCTGCCGTTCTTTACATTTTTCGATTTGCTTGTCTTTGACAGCCTCCCCCTCCATCAAGCTGCTGGTGGAGGACCCCATCGTGGTGAACCCGGGCCAGACGGTCTCCTTGGTGTGCATCACCACAGGTGGAGAGCCGCCCCCCATTCTCACCTGGATCTGCAGTAATGACAGCCTACCACAAAGGAGCGTGGTGAAGGGGGGCACGCTCACACTCCCAGCCATCACCTCAGACGAGGCGGGGGTCTACAGCTGCGTGGCCAGCAACAGTGTGGGAAACCCGGCCAAGAAGTCCACCACTATCGTGGTCAGAGGTGAGAAAACATGACTGCATGGCCAAATATATTGAGCACTAAACGATTTAAAAAAAGAGATATGGCGTAGTCACCTGAATAAATGAAGTAAACATTGAGTAAAATACCCCAAAATAACATATTTTGAAATATTAGATCAATTGAACATTTCTAATAATTTGTTTTTGAGTCAGTTTTTTGTGAGTGTTCTCACCAGTGCCTGCTCCTTTAGCAACCGTTAGCTTAATAGCTAGCACCTGCTGGCTACTATACCCAAAGAAGAAAACATGAGTCTTTCTTTGAGGACATTTATAAAATGCTGAGGAAACTCTTAATCAACCGCTCAGTCGCTGCTGCTCACATTGATTCTTCATTTTGAATGCTGAGTAATAATATAAGCTAACATAGCTAGTTAGCTGCTAATTTGGTAGCATTTTAAGCCTTATTATACTAAAAAACAGCAAATCTTAGTTACTATGTCTGTGTACTGTGTTTCTGTACAGCAGCAGACTTTAGTTAGTTAATTCATAATTACTTTGCCGTTAGTTCAAAATGTGTTTTACAGATGTATAGTTAATGCATTCACAGTATTGCTGAATATCCTTCAGATATGATTTGCTGTTTGACCTTACAAATACACCCGGCACATCAGAACTCACCATCTTTACCGCTCAGGCTTCTTAAACACAGCCAAGGACAATGCTGGAGGCTAAAGAGTGTGAAACCATTAATTAAAAAACACTGAGTCAAAGAGTGGTTAACACAAATTTAACAAGAGCAAAAGGGCGAGGGCCACTGCTGCCTGTCTGGTCATTATCAGGAGAATAGCTTTTTTTTCCCTAAGCTGCTTTTCACCTGAGTAGCACAGGAGGCAAAGAAGCATCTGAGCTAGCTGTAGCTCATTAAAGCAATTACCGTTATCAAAGCACCACTTTCTGCATGCTTGTCATACAAGGTGAAGGGTACTTTTCCTTATTTACAGACACATTCTTAGCACAGTGAAATGCTAAAGAACTACTTTGAAGGTTAATACTCAAGACCGGTGATTTTACTATGTGTAAGAAAATCTGTATTGATATAAGACCTACACAGATCAGACACAATGCATGAGGAAATCGACTTGCATACTCTTTAATTGACTGCTATTACTAAGCTCAGGATTAAGGGTGGTGTGTGACTAGGCTTTCATCTGTAACATAATAGAGGACCTTAAAGCCCTGATTGTAAAACTGCAACTTCCTGCAGGTGAATAAAAAGATGCATTCATTTGTAGAAAAAAAAACAGCATTCACAGGGATGATCCAAATGTGAATTTCAAAAAGTACATCACACACACACGAAAGCAATCACATTTAAATCCAAATTTAGCAGATTGGCTCAGAAAGTGTCTCCGACTTTTCTTCTCTCATCTAAGAGATTATGCCACAGCTCCATCATCAGGTCGCCTGTTTGGAAGCATTTATTTATACGTACAGCCATATACTCCCGGGATGAAAATCAAATCATCAACAAATCATTTCTGATGGTTCCCCTTGACAGATAAACCCCTTCTCTGCATTGTGAAAGTGCCCATATAGTTGAAGACTTAAGAATTGAGAGGTTCACATCAAACAAAGGTGTCAGGTGTCCCGCGGCGGCAAATAAGTCAGAGCACACTCACCAGCAGGCAATCGCTGCAATAAATATCCGGCTCTCTCATCTATGTGTCGTACAACTGGAGCTGACGACGGCTCTCATATGGGATCTTAATCAAATATCATCAAAACAAATCACCACCTTCCTTAAATATAAATCAGGGCTGAATACACCCTCATTGATGTGTCACGGTTAAGGCTGCAGAGCATTTCTTGTTAAAAGTTAAACAGGACAAAAAATGTATTATTCTGAAATGTCATGCAGGATACATACTGCAGTGATTGATTTTTAATGGAGTGCAGGATTCAAATTCCTATGTGTAAGGATATATAGGTTATGCTTCTGCATACTGGATTTATATCCCTTCGTGCAAAAGACAGACAATGATTAAGACCTGTTATGGAGACATTGATCAGCAGCCTTGTATATTCTCCTAAAGCCTAAAAGCCCATCACTCAATAATGTACCGTAGATGTCTAAACTGAAGGCAATCAGACATGGGAGAGGGCTGAACAGATTATCAACTGACAAGAAATGTGTCCAGACTAAATTAAGCCAATGAGTCATCATCACACATCTCAGTGTGAATGTGGAGTGAAAACAAGCTAAACCAATGACAGGCCGAAACTAAATCTGGAGATGCTTAAATGACACAACTAATCAATATGTGCATGGCTAATTAAGGATCAATAAAACCAGAAAATAAATTGGGAAGATTTTCATGAGATTGATGTACTGTCACTCCTGTCAGTGCAGATGTTGAATCAGTATAGTATTGCGTATGTCAGTTAAGAACGAGGGGTTAGGGGCTGCTGTATAAATGAAGACTAATCAACAGAAAATCTCACTGGGTGCACTATTCGGACCAATATACTCAAATGAGCTTGGACATTGATGGATATGGACTTTCAAAGTACATTCACAAAGGAAAACAGAGTGAAATGACAGTCCCGACAAAACAACACTGATGTCAAAATGAATTTGATCCTAGCTCTGTTATGTAACGCTCCACAATCCAAACACAGCTCTGTTATTATTCTAATTCTGGGACAGGCTGATGAATTATGAAAAACAGTCAACGAGGTTATCGCATATCTCTTCGTGCCATCGCTCCCCTGAGTCTGATGAGCTGTCACTTACGCAAATTCAATTGTGAGATCAACATGTCCCAGATGACGGGGGTAGGCGGTATATAACTCTATATTCGTAGATTATAGAAATATATCATGAGTTTGATTTGCTGCATATTAACAAGTATAGCAGCCATGACAATCGGGGGAAATAATGGAGACACAGTTCACGAGATTCTCATTCTGATAAAAACATAGTTAGTGTCAACATGAACATTTTTATAGCTCATTAACTGACTTTTGCTCAACTAAACCACATCCATGATGCTCCCTTTTTAAGAAGAATGTGTCCATTGGTTGCTTATCATTTTTGAAAGAAATCTTCTCAAACAGATCCCTTGTCACTGCTGTTACTGACAGTGCATGCAAACAAGCTTACAGCATATTTCTATAGAAAGGAGGCTGTGTTCACCTCTAACAGAAACATTTCTGTCACCCTGGATACGACTTTCTGTAGATGATTGAATTGAGAAAAAATTGTTGTTTTTCTTCCTTGACATTAACTTCTGCCCATGTTCTTGTAGTTCAGGCTAAATTCACAATAACACGGAATAAGAAAAACACTTTGAGCATGACTACTATTATTTAAAAAGTTGCAAGAGATAATGGAATTGTACATGATCTATGTGCTTTTGTAATGTAGTTTGCACGACTGATACAGATTTTATTTTTTGGCTGATATTTATATTTAAGAGTTTAATATGGATATATCTTTTTCTTTTACATCAAATCATTGAAAATAACTCTTAAAGGCTGTGAGAGAGAAATGCACTGTGTATTACGGTTAAAGAATTACCATGACAGTCCTCTTTAGTTGTAAGACTATGCAGACCTTTCTGTCGAAAATGTCCTGTTACTTCTCTGCTGACACATTTACGGCCATTACCAATACATTTTACATCAGCCAGGTAATAATACTAGTGGACTTTGGTGAGTCAACACTGGAGGGCTTTACAGTCCCCTTACAGTGCCCATTGACTGGTCTGGAATGGCCATTAAAATGGTTAACCCGACCAAAGTGGAAGCACAAATGGAGGTGGAGTGGACAGGGTGAGGATGTAGTGCCCAGAATGGATTTGAACCTTTCTTCCTCTTAGTATGCAAATCAATCATGCATGAAGACAATCGAAGTCTCTTGAAGTAAGACAGGAAACACTCAAATACTTACCATACCTAGCACAGTCGAATGTACTGAACCCCTGCCTAGGGCTGTTCCATTGTGAATAAATGACTAACCATGTAGGAATTAAGAGAACCGTGGTGCTTTGTTCTATTGTAAATCTCACTCTCATGTTGCTTATTTCGTAGTTGGCTAGACCTTATATCGATTGTGACTGTTGCTTTCCCCCTAATGAAAATTCTGTATTCTTCTGAAGTGTATTTGACAAAACAAACAGTGCAACTTTTCACTCTTTGATACTTTGAAGTGAGGAAAAAAGGAAAACTGAAAGAGGATAAGCCAGGCTCCAGGCTAGAGCACAGAGAGAATGCTGTCTGTGTTTGTATTCATACATTTTCACATATATTTGTATGCTTGTTGATTACATTTCTCAGAATATCTCAACCGTGGGCTACAATATCGATAAATCAAGAATGCAAAAACTCTCTGCTAATTGCTAAAGTGCGTGTGGCCATGGAGAGTTAAAGCTGAACTGCTTGGAATTACAAACACTTGGGAAGAAATGCTGGCCATCTGTCTGAGCATGTTTGCATTTCTGTTGATATTCATGTGCATAAACTGCATGTCTACGTGAAATACCAATTTGTTATGCCCCTTCATTGAGTTAATGGGGCGTGTTTTCCAGGGTCACCCTGTGGCCTCACTGTTGCCTCTCTCAGCTTTTAAAGCGTCCTCTCCAGTCCTTGAGAAGGCCCTCTCAGACTGCTGTTGCCAAAGGGGCCTGTGTGTGTGAAAACACACATCTCTCCCCAACAGATGGTAGTTTTTCTGGCCATACTGTCCCACCAGCCAGACTGCCTTCCAGGGCTTGGCCATCTCAACAGCCGGTCCAGCAGGCTACCGGCATCACATCGCCGCGCTGACAAGATCCTTTTTAAGGATTAAGGGGCCGCAACACGTCCTCAAAGCAGGTCAATACCCTGCCTTCCCCGGCTACTTCAGTCCATTCTGTCCTGCATACTCGCAGCAGTTTGTGATATATCTGCTGCGACGACTTATAGATATGCCGTGCTGGTTGTTTCTTCCTTCTAATGTTGAGTAGGCAGCTCTCAAATGGAGATTTGGTGAAATCAGAC